CCTATAGGGCGGCTTGTTTCGTCCCTGCGGGTATGCAATCTCTCAATTCTCTATTACTTTTGTTACAGATTTTTGTGTGATTGATTCTTATACTGCAATTATGTATGGATAGTTTTGGTGTTCATTGAATTTGAATAACCGTTAATCTTCAAGAGGCGATGGATATAGGAAAGCGATTCGTTATGGTGAATTTGTGTCCAGTATTGTTTTATCTTCGTCATTATCGATCACCGTTGTTATACTCTTTGTTTCGTTGAATCGTTTCTTATTTAGTTTATTGCGTTAAAATGTTTTTCGGAAGCATACATTGCGAAAGATCGAAGGTGTTTGCATCTGTGGATTTTGTTGAAGAATGATTATTTTTTTCTTGTGATATATTCTTGTCATCTTAACCCTACGAAAAGCGAACGACGAATGAGCGTCTATTCTCAATCTATGTGAATTTTATGAGATCTCGATTGTGATTATTTTGGTTGATTGAATAGAAAAAAAAAAAAAAATATGGCATGATATCGAGGTACTGCTAACAGAAATTTATGTGATCTAGGTCATGTGATTGAGTTCATCTTCATCAACAACACAAAAATGGTTCATATGATCATTTTTTTATCTGTTAGTAAGCTTGTTGATAATTGATAAACTCTGATACCAGATTTTTTTTTGCTAACTTATATTGCTTTACCTTCATGTTTGATCAATTTTTCATGTGATTCAAAACATAAAACTTTACTTAAATGTTGACCTCTGTAGTATCGAGCAAAAGAATGATGATCATTGTGATGAATCAAGACAACATCTTGCACTTTGCATATAATTATCCTCTGATAGACTAGTAATCGGTTTTGTTTTTGATCGGGTTTGATATTGTGATTGTGTGAAGGGTGAGATGATTTTTGATAATAAACAGCAGTGAATCCGTGGGATGCTTGTAATCCTGCACCATCCTTGTTGTTGAATGGGCTGTTGCTATTCTACTGCGGGCAGACGGGTTCCTGCCCGTGAAGACCCAAGGACTCTTGCTTCTCAAACTTCTTGTAATTCTTAATTTCCACGTCATCACTTTCTTAATTAATTAATTTCAATCAATCATGATTCAGCTCAACCACTTGTTTTGATTTTGTGTCCACTGTATACAGTCAGTGTTAGTGAGGTCGAAGCACTATTTGAGCTATTCAAGAGCATAAGCAGTTCTGTAGTTGATGATGGACTAATTAGCAAGGTAGTTTAATTAATTATGTCAGAATTATAATTAAATATGTATCCGGATATTACATGTTTAATTATGTTCACTAACTATTATATATGCAGGAAGAATTCCTACTAGCTTTGTTCAAGAACAAAAGGAAAAAGAATCTGTTTGCAAATAGGGTATGTTGTTCTTGTTAATTAGTTTACCAATTTATGCAAATAATTTCATTAAATAAATGAACCCATTATAACTGAAATTAATTTGTTATATATGTGTGTAGATTTTTAGTCTTTTTGACGTTAAGCATAAGGGAGTCGTCGATTTTGGTGACTTTGTTAGATCACTTGACGTGTTCCACCCTAAAGCTCCACTAGAAGACAAAATCAATTGTAAGTCTATATTTAATTCTAAATCCCCCAATTACAGTTCTCCAAATTCCAAAATCAACCAATAATTAATCTCTTTATATATATTTTTTACTTTTGTTTTTTAGTTTCTTTCAAGCTTTATGATTTGGATGGAACAGGATTCATTGAGCGCCATGAGGTATATTAATGTGCAAAAAGACATAAATGCCCTTCTGGGTACATTCTCATTGTTTTACAAGTTTTAATTTGTAGGTTAAGCTGATGTTAATTGCACTTTTACGTGAATCTGAGCTAAGGCTTGCTGATGAGACAATTGAGATGATACTAGACAATGTAAGTTTGACTTTTGTGATTTTTTTTTTTTTATTTGTTTGACTTTTGTGAATATTTTATATTTGTTTTAAGCAGACGTTTTCGGATGCCGATGCAAACCGGGATGGGAAGATTGACAAATCAGAATGGCAAGCTTATGTTACCAAAAATCCCTCCTTGTTGAAAATAATGACACTTCCGTATCTAAGGTAATTTTGTAGATGTTATTTTTATTTTTATATTGTATATAATTAATAAAATAAGTTTGTAAAAATGAATGAATGAATGAATGCAGGGATATTACGACAACCTTTCCAAGCTTTGTGTTCAATTCCCAAGTTGAAGAAGAGATTACGTCGTGACATTAATTGTTGACAAGGAGGGATTAATTTGATCATTTTTTCATGAAGAAATTCAAACTTGTACATGTTGAATAAAGAGGATCTAAAAAAATAAAGCATGCATGCACTATAATGTGATATGCACAATCGATAACGATTTGGATTTACATTCACCATTCTTGTTGTTGATTGACATTTATTGTAAGTTTGCCCATGCACAGTGTTGATTCACGTTATTAATCGTAACTTTTCAGCATCATTCATCAATCAAGTATGTATAATTGTATATTATAAGTTATAACTCCGTATTCTAAAAAACAGGTCAATCATTCATGCATACATATATAAAAAAAACTCTCAAATATAACTTATCAACTAAAAACCCACTCTTTTTTTTTTTTTTTTTTTTGCATGCTAAATTATTCAAACGAAAGTTTAACAAATCACATGTATTCAACGGATTACAATAGTTTTTCGATCAAACCCAAAATCAAATGTATTAGACTCCATTTTCCATTAACAAAGCTCTCATTGTTGGGTATTAAGGTTCTTAGAAACTGGGAGATGAATATGATACTTGAAGTATACGTGTGAAATTGTTATGTAAATGTTATTTGTTAGTGTGCATAACAACATTTAATGGATATATGCCATCGCAATTGCCATCAGCCATGAACTTTGGACATGATTGACGAGTTAGAGTTTATACAACAATTGGGGCCAACATGTGAATGTTGATGCATGATAAAAATGTTTGTAACACCATAAAAGTTTGATTTGTGATGTTAATAAACAAGTATTATTTCTATTTCAAGCTGGTTATAACTCTTTAGAATCGAAGTATTGACTTTGTGTAATTTAGTCCAACTTTGAATTGAGATGGATTGGTGATAATATGGTTAAATGCCATAATGGAATTGTGTTAGGTAACATACTTTGGTAATGGTATTGAAGAGTAGGGATTCACCAAACATGATAGTTGAAATGTTGAATGCCTAAAGCTATTATTGGCGTACTAACTGAAAAGCTAGCTGATAATTGAAATGCTGACTGATAAAAAATGATGTTTGGTAAAATTAACTGAAAAGCTAGCTAAAAGATATAAAATTACGGAAAAAGACATTTAAAAGAATGTGTTTCTAAAATTAATTAAAGGGTATATTTGGAAATTTTTCAAAAAGCATCTAAAAAGCTAGTCTAAGTTGCTTCTTAAAAGGCTAACTTAAAAGCTATTTTTTGGCTTACCAAACATGACAACATAAGAAAGCTCGAAAATTAAGTCATCTTATCAGCTAGCTGTGGCGCGTCAAACACAACCTAAGTTGATAAACATCAAGAAATATTTCTAAAGTAAATTACATGAATGGTCCATGTGGTTTGGGGTAGATTGCACGTTTGATCCATAACTTCCATTTTTAATTTGAACAATCCCCAAGGTACGTTTGTGTTGCATGATTGCTCCTTAATCAATGTAAGAAGACTGATTTGCCCTCACCACTACTTCCCCTTCCCCCCCCCCCCCCCCCCCCCCCTTCTTGTGTTCGGTCACCAAACAACAATACAACACCTCCGATTACCACCACCACTAACCATGGTTGTAACATTTTTAACAATTAAGAGTTCCCATATATCCAAAATCAAAATTAAATCCATGGCTTCTAAACCGAAGGAATGGCGATGATGGATTGAGTTAAGGAGTGAGAGGGGAAAAAAGACACATGACGTTGGATCTGAGACACTGGAAAAACCTCTCATCCACAGTCATTGGAAACCTTTGCCTACCATTCCTCTTCTTGTTTTTCCTCCCCTACAACCAAACCTATCTCGTTCTTCCTTCAGATATGAGACACTCAACATCGGAGTTGAGACAGAGCTGATGAACTTAACCATCACCGTCACCCATCATTTGCACCATATTTTCTGATGACGCACGAGTCCTAATGCAAAAGGGATGAGTTTAATGGGTGGATATGGTTCGTCAGAAGAAGACTTAAGAACCGGTAGTGGGTAAGAAGGCGGTCATTGGCAACACCACTTATTAACATCGCCGTACTCCTTTACGCCTACGTGCTCCGGACAAGAAGTGGTGGCTAAGAGGGTTGCAAATTTAGACGTGGAGCGGTATTGTAAAAGGGATTTGATGGTTCGTTGGAAGACAATGTCAGCAAAAAGGTTTCAAATGTGATGGTATTGGTTGTTGAAGATGATGGTTGTTTGTACCACGAGAAGGAGGGGGTAGCTGATATATTTTATTGAGAAATTTAATTTACTCTATTTTTTATGAAACTTGTGCAAGAGTGTAAGGAATGATGATGGTTATCTTGTATGCCATTCATACTGATTTAACAAACCCACCCAAACTCATTAATCATTGCAAAACTCCAAATACAAAGGAAAGATGTATAGTTGTATATTACTAGTCCATAATGCATACAAATACTCGTATAATCATATTTCAAATATTCCTCACTTCCAATTTCCAAACAACAAAAATACAAATACATGAACTATTCAAAATCACTGAATTCAAATCATTTACAAACTCATAAATTAATTGATTCTATCTAATTACTATACAAACCTAATTTAACAACACTCGATCGACTTGTACTGGTGATACCCGTATCTATATGAAACCCTAGATGAGAGACAACTGGGGAAAAATTCAATCATATACCCATACCCTTCAAATCCTAAACATCATATACAAAAGGTATTTAAACCTCAGATTTGTTAAGAGATTTTAGCTACAACTTATACATATATATATATATAGAACATCCTTTTCAATCATGGAGAACGAGGAGCAAGCAGTGAATATCTCTTGGTCATTCTCCCTTTCATATATCTTATCTTTGCATCCACTCTTGCCGACAACCCTATCTCTGTTTCTTGTCTTGCTTTCGATTGTTCCCTTTTCCACATCTTCTTATCCGTAACATCTTTCTTCAAATTCTTCATCTCTTGAAGAACATGATGATCTTCTGGATTATAACATCTTTGATATGATATATGAATAAGATATGGCATGTTACACAACAAAGTCACTAATATCGTTGATAGGTAAAACTTTTGTGCAGGCCCAAGAACCTCTGGCAACTGATGATATATATTCCCTGCCGACCAACTCACCGGCAACATTCCATATATATAAACTATTAAATACCACACCACGATACTACCCCAAATTGTGTGTAATTGGACACGTGTCAAGTAATGAGATATCAGAAATATTTGAACATTCACCACCCATATTATGCTTGTAAACATAGCTGTACCTATCACATACATATCCGCTGTTTCCCCTTCTTTACGAAAAGATTCAGGGCTGAAGATCCGCATGTTTATAATATAGATTACAATAGAAGAGTAAACGCCATTTGCTAACCACCCAATTATTCTATACCAATCGAAAAACAGATTCTTTGGGCCTTGTTGATATAAAGCGGGAAACTGTAGACATATGTCTGCGTTTACATCTTTCTCCAACACTCCTAGGGCAAGAACTGGACATGAGGTTAAGAACACGTTGTATAAAAGCATGTACCAGTCGTCGTAATGCATTTGACCGGAAAACCCAGCTTGGGCTTCGAAGTAGAATAGCGTTAGGGCTAGGGTTATGTTTTTATAGAAGAAATAGCAAATCATCTTTGAGATTCTTTTGTAACACCAGTGTCCATGAACAATCAAGAGTCTTTCCAAGAATCGGAACTGTGCGATTGCAAAATCGCTTGCCATTACAGCTTGCATACCTTCAACGCCACTAATTCCGATTCCGATGTCTGCTTCTTTGATCATTCCGACGTCGTTTGCCCCATCGCCAATCCCTAACGTCGTTCTTCCTGTTGCTTCTTTTACTAATCGAACTACCAAAGCTTTTTGCTTTGGGGACACCCGACAACATATGACAGACGCGCAGTTTATGGCGAGGTTCAAGAATTGGAACTTTAAGTCGTCTTCCAAAGCGTATGTCAGCGTTTTTCCGTCAATGATCAAAGCAAATGGTGCATTTGGATCTTTTTTTCCTTTTACTGTTTGTAATGCACTAGTGATTTGAGATAAAATGTTATCCTTTATAACGTCTTTCGTATCTTGAGCCAACATTTCTGCGGATACAACTATACAAATCTGCTTCATCCCTTGTCGGAGCAAACTACACGAGAACCCGATATTAATCGCCGTTTCCATCTTGTCTCCGGTGAGAACCCAAATTTTTAGACCGGCAAGAGCTAATCTATCGATACATTGAGGAACACCTTTCTGCAACTTATCTTCAACGGCGGTTGCACCGACTAGAGTAAACCCCTTTTCTATTTCATCTGATAGTTCTTCTAACACATCCTCTCTATCTGGCCCACTTGAGCATTGGGCCTTATGAAACTTTTCATACCAATTCGAGTATTCATTTTCATCAAGCTTTTTATACGCAAGTGCTAATGTACGCAACCCCGCATCACCATAATCGTTCAAATTTTTTGTTGTCGCCTCTAAATATATTTTCCCGTTACTTGCTAACCGATCAAAAATAATGGTGTCTGCACCTTTACAAAACATAAGGATTTGATTAGTTTCATCACGTATAATCACCGACATTCTTTTCCTCTTACTAGTGAAATCCAATAAAGTTAGTATTATGTATTCCTTTTCAACCGGTTCTTGGTTTATAGAAAGTCTTTCCTTAACTACGATGCTATTTTGAGTTCTTTTCACAAAATGAAACCCAAATTCCCGAGCCGCAACTAGAAAAGCCCCTTCATCAGGTGATTCTGCTTCGTAAGTCAACTCTCCAGTCTTCTCGTTAACCTCCGGAATCGCGGTGTGACACACTGCGAGAATACGAAAAAACAAAAGTATAACTTCAGAATTCGGTTCTTTTAACCAATTCCCATTTTGTAACCGATCGTCTTGAAAGCTAAACCCTTTAATCGATTCCTTTTTCTCGGTGTTTCCATTATTGGAGATTGTAATTGCTTCCAGAGAGGAGGAATTACTTAAACCCCCGTGGCTGGAATCGGAATCGCGCGACTCCAATGCCGCCGCCATTTGTTTTGCCGCCGCAAGCTCGACTTCACTCAACCGTTTCCCATAAGGACACCCGGCAATTGAGCATTTTAAGAAATCCATCTGGTTGCATGTTAGTGTCCCGGTTTTATCGGAAAGAATGGTGTCCACCTGTCCTAACTGTTCGTTCAAATTTGATGTTCTAGCCTTTGCTGGTGTTCCGGTGACCTCATCATATAAATGCAAATCGCTGTTTATGAAACTCGCTTGAAGAATTTTAACGGCTTCTATTGAAACGTAGAGAGAAATTGGAACCAGGTATCCGTATAACATAAGTGCAGTGATGAGATGTCTTAGTGCAGAAACTAAGAAATCGTTTACATTAAAGTCTTCTCCGGCGACGTCTGGCCTCAGGTACCACCATAGCGGGACAGCATTTCGGACAGCTAAACCGAACCCGGCAGCACTAACAATAGAGATGAGTATCAACAACCCGAATAACAGGTAAATTATTTTATCCATTTGGAGCTCAATTTTGCTTCTTTTTGATGGCGATTGTGTGGTGTTTTGCATCACTTTCGTATCGTTTCCGGTGAAAACCACTGCACCAAATATGTACTCGGTGTTCTTGAGCTTTGATTCGCGGAGTAGAAGTTGGGCTGGATCAAGAGGGTAAATCCGACCCTCGTACTCTAGATTACCCATGAATGTATACAAGTTAGGGTTAGGGTTTTCGCAACGGATTGTGGGTTGGAAATTCCCAAAATGTGAAGGTTCATCATCGTTAACCATTGGAAGTGATAAATTCTGTAGAGCTCTTTTGACCTTTAAATTTGTCTCGCCGTCCAAATTCATGGTCTCGACATACGACATTCCATCTTCATAGCTTGACTGTAGCAACAACAAATCAGCAGGGAAGAATTCATCTTTTTTTACATTCACAATATCACCAACACAAACCTCCCGCCACTGTTTCTTCTCGAAAACACCGTTTCCGACATGAACGGCGGTGTCCCGACGGTTTGCCGCCTTGTCCTGCCAATACCTTTGAAGATCCTCATATAATTCTTTGGCGAGACTGAAACCAACAACCAAGGCTAAGGGTACGACTTGGCTGGGCCAGTCGAAGGGGGCGTAGTCGGTGAAGGTTAAACCGGCAGCCACCAGGAAGTAAAAATTGGCAACTCGGTTGAATTGTTCGAAAAGGGCGATTGGGAGGAAGTTGAAGAATGTGTATTTGGTGGTGGAGACGTAATTTGAGCAAAATGTTGGGGCGTCTTCTTCTGGGACGACGGGTCGATTGACTTGGATGACACGTGGGTAACCTGATAGCTCTCCACCGGCTTCTTCTTTTTTGTACGATGGTTTTGACCGGATGTTGGCTAATGTGTAGAGGCTGCTCCGCCGCAGCTTGGCTCTTATTCCACCTTTTGCCATCAAAATGGAAGAATCCAAATCCACCCACTACGATACATTTCCCGATGATGCTAGATTCATCAAAAATTGAAGCTCCAAGAACGGAGGTGCAGGGAAGGGAGAGAGAGAGAGAGAAAGGGAATGATGTTGTGGTTGGGAGAATTTCATGTAGATTAGGAGAAAGAGAAAAAGTATACATTGAAATTAGGAAGAAAACGTTTGACTCAGAGCATTTTACGTAGAATGGTTTTGTTAGAATCAGACTATAATCAATTTTTAGAGTAAATTACAGCATAACTACATGTCCTTATGTGAATTTTTTAATTAAATCTAATTTTCAATTGTAACCTTAAATATCTTTATGGATTAATTTTGTTTTGATTTTAGTCCCTATCAAACATTAACCGACTATTTTGCAATTATCAAATTTTTTATTTATTTATTTATTATTACTTTTCTAAAATTAATAGGCCTAACCCTACCATTTAAGTAAAACCCAAATTGATTCTTTTGAATGGGAGGTAATATTATTATTTAAGAAATTGATTCATCTATATGAAATATATATTTTTACCGGCTTTTATAATAACTATAAAAACATTGTTTTTTCTGTGACCGAATCAATTTCTTAAATAGAGATACCACATCGTTTTTAGAATTAGATAATTAACTGATCAATTTTATAGAACCATTGAATCATCAAGCTTTAAAAAGTTATTTCAAAAACTTATATTACAAACTAGTTGCAAGACTCATATATATATATATATATATATATATATATATATATAAATTTGAAAATTTTGATTTTATAAGAAAATAAGAAAAATATTGAGTTATTATAATCGATTTTTTTATCTTTTAAATTTAAACAAATAATTTAAATAAATAAACAAAAGAACTAATGAGCTTTAATATTAAAAATTTAGAAATTAAAAGGTAAGTTTATTAATAACATTGATAGTTATTTATTATTATTACATTTATTGTAATTATTACATTAAAATATTATACGGAATTTAAAAAAAAAATAGAAAGCTTATAAAATGATATATATGGAAAAATAAAAAAGTTAATTCAAGAAAACAATAAAATGACATTTGACAAATTAAATAAAAGTGTAACACGTATCAAAAAATACTTTCATTTATTATAGTAGATTCTTTTATATATTAATTTTTTGTCGTTGTTTAAAGTTTCAAGATGAGTTTGCATTATTAGTTACTAGTTGTTAGTATATCGTAATTGAATTAGCTGTTTTTATATAAGTAATTAAAGTTGGTTATTAATTGATAAATAAATTTGTATAGTAAAAAAATTATACATTACATTATAAATGGGAGTTCTTTCATTAATATAACAATATCAATTTTAAATCGGCCAAAAACTTAACTTAAATTTAATTTAAAAACGCCACTGCTAACTCGTTTCTAAGATAACTTGAAACATCCAACGCCTAGTATTCATATATCACCATTTCAAATTACAATAAATTAAAAGTATTTTGAAAGCCTAATATTATAAAGGACAAAAAAAAAAGACATGTTTTTTGCTTTAGAGTTTAGACCTTTTCATGTTTTGAATCTGGTCCATGGCCCATGGCATGTTAAGTAGGACCAAACTTATATTTAATATTGAGTTTTTTAAAACGTAAAATATCTTTTTATGAAGTTATGAATAAATATTCCTAGCTTGATGTTAGAAACATCTTAAGCATCACAATGATGCCTTTAATAGGTATCATGTTCACGTTTAATTGCTCAAAGCAAATACTTTAGGATTTGGATCTTTACGTGTATACAATTTCATATCTCTCATGAGATTGTCTCTTAATACATGAACTCATTCATTGAAGTCGTATATATTGAATGTTATTGTTTCATCAATTCATTAAAGAAAATGACAATACATGATAATGAGAACGGATTACTTAACTACAAAATTTTAACAAATTTCATTTAGCATTTTCAGTATTTAATCATTAATAATTAATACCCTTTTACTTTCGAAAAACAATAATTATCTAAGTCTAGGATCCAAGTTGCAAAACAAATAAATGGTTAGGTATCATTTATCTCATCCATTTGAATTCAACCTGGAAAATATCGATTATCAATTATATCTCACTATATAACTCCTAGATTTATGGGGTCGCTAATAACAAATTTAATTAGACATTTTTTATCCCAGCTATGCCTCTGAACTTTCTCGGTTAGGTATCCTTTATCATAAAAAAATGTCCGATTAAATCGTCCAATTTGAAAAACTTGTGTAATCGGCCTATAACTTGGTTATAGAAATCACGAAGACACCCCGATCATCAAAAGATAACACTAAGCGGTTAGGTATCCTTTATCCCACTAGTGCATACAAGAGACGTGCGAGTGTTCTTTAAAAGGATTGCATAGATTTGAGTTTTGTAAAAGGGTCTTTATATGTTTTATAATTCTAGTTTAAAAACATATGATATCATTGTTATTACATGTATATAATAAACTATGATATCAATTTTTCAAAGAAAATTATCTTTTAAAGGTTCTTTATAAAAAGCTAGTTTTTATATAATTTGATGCAATTCAATTTTAATAACCGGTATTAAGTTTGAATTCATTTGAACATTTTATATATTTAATAAAACTTCCTTTTATTACTTATATATTTTGAGTTTGTATAAGTTATAAAAACTACAATTTTAAAACTTTTATTGGAGTATTTCATAATTTTCCGTTATTAACAATTTTATTAAAACGAGTTTTATTTTAAAATAATAACGTGTTACATCTTATGTCCAATTTTTGAAAACCCAAACTCCGTGTGATGTTTATTTTGTCCAAAATTATTTTATCATGTGAAAAACCAATTTATCAACCACACATAATAGTTTTATAAAATAAACAACACAAACATGCATAAAAAGATATGTGTGTAAACATAACCAACTAATAACATTTTTGTGAACCAATACAAAAATGCCAAGTCTATTCCTAAATGGACATTTAAGGGGATCAAAAAACTTCTTTGTAATGTTGTTGTAGAGGCTCCCATTTAAGTAAACACCCACTACTTACAAAATATTGGAAAAACTTTTTTAAAGGCAAAATTGCAGCTTTCATGACATTTTTCAGAAAGTGTCATCTTTTTGTTTAGCACCTTTTCAGCACAAGTGTAGCATTCATGACACGTTTCAGAAAGTGTCATGTTCTGCCCAGCACATGTTGACCTCGAAAAATTTCCTTTTGTTCTAAAAAAAATGATTCAAACTTTATTTCTTGTTACATCTTCATACAAATAAATTAATTTTAAAAACTAATCTATTATTTTACAAAAATAACCAAGAAAAGCTAATCTATTTAATTATTACATAACGTATGAATAAATAAATTATTACAACCATTTTATAACAAAAGTAACCAACACAACAACATAACAACACATTGGTCATTGGCTAATTTATGCACATCATATACATCAATATACACATCAAACAACCTTTGTTTTTCTAAGACAACTTTAAATGACAAAAAATGCATGAAACTTTTTTCATATAAAATAACAAAAAAGTTGTCATAAAAAATATATATGAACTTATTTTTATACAAAAAAAGTTATCCATATTTTTCAAAAACTAAGATTTTCAAAAATCAAAAATCTATCCAAACTTGCAAGATGGCTCTAATACCAATTTTTGAGTTTTAGTTCAAAAATAGTTTCATAAACTTGAAAAATATGGCAACGGAACACTTTAATTTTTTGAAATAACATTAACATTTTATACCCACCAAGGATCTTATTGCAAGTTATAAAAAGATTAAAATACCAACCAAAGAAGAGTTGAAGAAATAACAACCTTTGTAGTTCTTTGGGTCCTCTTGGGAGACTTGGAAGTTGATGAAGAATGTGGATCCCTTGAGACACCAACAATGATTCAACTTGATGTAGATGCTAGTCCAAAACTCTTAAACCCTTAAGCTTTAAGTTCATAACCAATATGAGCTTAAAGAGGGCTTGAAGATGCAAGTGTTCTTCAAGTTTTCTAACTAAAACTAGAGAGAAAGGGAGATGGAAGAGAGGATTCTGATTTTGCATCAAGGAATGAATGCGAAAATAATCCAAGAGCAAACTCTCTTATTTATATGCGTAAAGTGAAGTTATTAACCATTAGTCATTAGCACTTTAAGCAAACTTGTCTCCATTGTCATAAGCATGACTCTCATGCCTTTATCATGATTAGACAAGTCATACACTTCTTCTTTTTATGCATATTTCGAAAATTGCATAAAGAAGAAGAAAGAAAGTCAAACTTTTATAAACTCTTTTATAAAATATAAACATTGTCTTTTAGGAAAAAGATAAAAGGATTCAACTAGTACAAAAATTTGTAAATGATTTATAAAGCATATCATATGATGTATATTAAGTTACTTGCTAATGGAATTTATTATTTCCACGAAATAAATAATTTCCAATTTAATTATAAGTGTTTTATTAGATATTTATTAAAATCAATTTTTAATAAATAATCAATTGTATTAAGTTGTTAGTGTGACCAATTAGTATCATATGTTATTTATTAATATCACTTTAATATGACTCTTGAGCATAGTAGGCCTTTCATGACATTGGTGCCTTCAACCCACAAGTACAATGAAGAAAACTCACATCACAGACTGAAAAAATTGTTGAATTGATCGTTGCTCTAGATACTGAATCTATTGGTCACCTATACAATAAATAGTGACCAAACCTCCATCTACTGCTCAAATTACACTATTTGACCTAAAGTCAAACTTGGTTAACGGTCAAAGTCAACGGTTAATGGTTAAAAGGTCAAAATTCTTTATTCAAAAATCCCACAGATTGTCGTCAGGTTGTGACCCACTAGTTGTCATGCTGAGACAAAATAGTCGAGATGGTCAATTCTCACGTTGTGATCCATAAATGCGCACATCATGAAAAGTGCTTTGAACAGGTAGATGCATTAAGCTCTTAATCTCTTTTGGACAAACACCCAAAGCTTCCAT